ATGTTGAAATTCACTCGCCAGTTATATGACATAATAATACGTGCATGCTTTGTTGATCACTTCGTTGTGATCATAATGAGCATTCTATGATCTGACATTGGTACTATACCAATTGATCACCACAGATCATATCAAAGTGATTGCCTTACTCATTATATTGACATATTCATTTACTTCTATCGTGTGTGATTTGTGCGGTTGAGTAGTGGTGCGTATTATATATTTATATGTGTTATTCATGACTTCAGTTCCTTCATGTATTTTCTGATATAATTCGACATTGCGAATTAAATGTTTCGAGTTGAAATAATCTTCCAATTCGTCACGGCTAATACTATCATAGTGTTTGATAGATCAACGGCTATTAGTATCATATTGTTTGATATAGATTAAGGAGAGATGATAAAGGGATGTGTTCTTCTAAAGAGTGGAGGGTGGAAAGGTCATCTAGACCCAATCTTCGAATTTNCATCACCATCGTTATATTTGCGTAGAACGTTAACGTGTGCGAATGTTTTATAAACGATAAATGTGTCATCAATAAGAATCGTACTGAACTGCATATGATGTAACTGCGAATTATTCACTTAATATTGTTTCAGACGTGCATATGAAGATGAGCGAGCGAGCAAGCGAGCAGACTACCGTAATCGTCACTGGTAGCGAGCTTCTTAGTGAAGGTGGGGAATTGGATCATTTCTCCGATGGTTTAATTTTTTAGTTGCTGGTTTGAATTGACTTTATTGTTAATCAGTCTTGTTAACTCTTGATCTGATATGAGCATATTATATACTCAGTGAGTGTGAATACTCTCTATTGGATGTGTTGACGTAGTCTATGAAACAGTTTCATCATAACAGACATAATAATGATAGAGATGTTGATATTTTGGATAATGTAGCAATGCGATATTTGCCTGAAAATGATACATCTTGTCAGCATTGAACCGTCATCCAATTCTAGATAGAATCGCGTAATGATGGTTCAAATTGGATGACGAGATACGGCAACCGATGGTGACGGGTCGACGGCAACCGACAGACGTACCGTTATCTATTCAACTGTGTCAATAACCCGTGGGCTGATAAATATTCAACAATAAGGTCTGGACACATCAGATCAAAACAACAGCAAGCAACAATTCAACGAACATTCAGTTCAACAAGATCCACAATAATATTCAACAATATTCAACTAATGTGACATCGTGACGCAAAGAAGCGTCAGGTTAGTAGTTTTAAACTTGTACTTAGGGACACGGAATAAAATTCAGTCGTGGTCAGTGACCACTTTTTTAATCACTTCACTCCTTTTTTCTTTAATTCATTTATGATTATTGTGAATAATGTTTGTACATGTTGTAAACAATTAAGTATAGACGACAATACAGTGACAAATATTATAGTGTATTGTTCAATGTTAATATTGTCGATGATAAACTTGTGAAGGTATTAAT